CGTATGAATGATACTTTTGGAAGTATAATTTTTCAAATGAAGAGCAAATTTAATAAGTATTTTAGGCATATTCCTCGTATTTTTGGTTTGGGGTTCTTATTGAACCATGTTTGAAGGATATTGGCATTCGAAGTTTGTTACAATCATTGTATGGTGGACAGGTTATAGAGTTAGATGATGGATCCAGTATTATTGTTACTTCTCATCATTTAGCTATTAGAAATTATTTTCAAACCTTATATAATGAATACGCAGCCAGACATGGTGTAGCTGTACAACAGTTTGCAGCTTTGACGCCTTCGAGCTCAAGCCGAGGTAAAAGTATAAGTTTTGATAAGCATGCAATGGTAGCTGAGCTAACTGGTGGGTCTAGACTTGGATCATCATTGGAGGTTTCTAAAATAGATGAATATTTATCTGCTTCTTTAGTTAAATGTCAAGGAAATATTTTAGATATTTTACAATGGTGGAGAGTATATAGATCAGTTTCATATCCTATATTTTCCACCATGGTTCGTGACTTACTAATAGTGGAGGTTTCGATGGTAGCTTCGGAATCCACCTTCATCATAGCAGGATATTTGATCAACGATCACAGGATATGCTTAGATCCGTATATTGTACAAGCGATAATGTACTTACAATATTGGTAGAGGTACGAGAAGCGAACACAAGGCATTGATCGGATGGCTGGAATTGAAGATAAATTTGAAGAATTTGGACTAGCAGATAGATATAAAAATTAAAGAATATTCATCAAATTGTAACTTTTATTTCTTAGCTTTAAATTTGTAAAGAATTATTTAGAAACAGTTGTAAATGATAGTGATATAGGTGAGTATGTACCAACCTAGTAGGGATGTACTCATCTATTGTGATGCGACGAATTCCGAAATAAATTTATAATTGTAAAATATTTACTGATTATTAATAAAGAAGTTATTTTTATCATCTTTTATTTTTATAATTTTATTTGTAATTTATGTCATTTCAAGTTATTAATAATATGATTGTTTTTATTTTTATTTTCTATAATTTTTTTTAATTTTTATGTATATTTTAAATTTTAAAGAGATTTTTAAAAATTTTAAAAAAAATTAAGAAAATAATAAAACCAAGAAAACCTAGGCCGGCCCAGGGCCACCGGGCCCGGGTCCGGGCTCCGGTTTTGCCCCGCCCAGGCCCGGCT